AAAAACACGTACCAGAGTGTCAAACCCAGCATACAATTCCCACGAGGACAGGACGCAGATTATTGGTCTAATGTAAAACCATGACCTGGCTCAAGCGAGTTATCGCGAGTCTCTTATCGAGCGCAACAAACACTGATAACAAAAAAAAAAGCCAAGCACGGTACACCGAATAATCGACGTCGCACGTTATTTCTTCGTTTGACAAATCTTTCGCGAGACGATTCGCGTCTTCGGCGAAAACAAAAAAAAAACATTGACTTTGCGAAATAAAAATATTTTTACTGTTTCTTTTTTTTTTATTTTATTTTTTTTTTTTTTTTTTTTTTTTTTTTTTTTTTTTTTTTTTTTTTTTTAATCCGGGTATATATCTCCGTGCCGAGTGCGCCGGAGTTACGTAAGAAGAGAGTAAACGGCGAGTGGTGCACGCGGGCCCGCAGTACGTTGGCGGGTGACATTGATGAAAATGTTGAGACCGAAAGCGGAAGGAATTATTTAATCGAAACTGTGGTCGGGAACGTTTCGCGTGTTCGCGATAAGAAATACGAGCGATAACGTAATCGCGTTCGCCCCGTGCTGCTGCGCGCTGGTCAATTCTTTCACCTGTGACAATTTGCGTTAATATTGAGACAGGGCAGGGTCGGCTAGAGGACAAGCGACTCGATTCCGATAGCGTATCTTCAGACATCGATAAATTCATGAAGGCTGTTGTTGTTCCCGTGACCTCCTCGCGCGGCATCTTTTTCGGGCACTGCGTCCCGGTCACGTGCGAATCCCACGGCGAGGGGCAAGACAGTCTCAAAGATAATACGAGCCATGCTGATCGAACGGGATCAGCGAAAATTTTTAAGGTCTTGCGAGGGGGGGAAAAAACAATTTTAACAGAGAATTCGGTAAGCCCCGATTATGCTGGCAAAAGACGCTCGACGGGGGGAACGGCAGAGCGAAGTAAGTAACTGAGAGAAGGAAAGTCGTCAACGAGGAGAAAGTGCGTGAGTGACCTAGGACAAGTGAAAAAATTGAAATTTGCCCATCGTCGACGGGCGTCAGCCGAAATATTGTCGCTTATCACGGCCTTTGCTTGACATTGAATTTCCCTTATCGCTTTGGTGGGGATATCAGACATATAGAACAAACACAGATATACATTCACGATTCAATTAATCGTACGGGTAACAAGAGCGCTGTTGTACGGACATCTGCGATGGTTCTTATCACTGGAGAAATAGAGTCACGCGAAGTAAATTTGGTAATAAGAGGAATCCTCTCTGAAAAAAAAAAAAAAAAATCATCTCCGTAGCGCTGCTCCAAAAAAATTAACACTAGAAACCTACCGCAAGTACCCGATAACCGTGTTAGGATGAAGAAAGAAAAAAATTTCAATAAAAATGAATATTCCCTAAAACCCATTAACACGGCTCACGGCGTATCCGTAGCTTGGCGTAAAAGAGTTCAGCTATTATTCTCCAGGCTGAATGTACTTATTCGTTATCAGTGTTAAAGATTCGACGTGGAATTTGGTTATCGGTGACATTGAATTTTTAATCTCGTTCTAATCGACCTGTTTGTTTCCTCCTTCCCGCCCCTCTCGGTTATTCTCTCCCCCCCTCCCCTACTCGCGGGTCCCCCCTCTCCCAGATATCCAATCGGCAAAACCCATCCCCGTGGATACATACGCAAAAGTCTTGAATAACCCAATTACAAGATTTCTCGGGCAACCCGCGCGAGACCCAAGCACTTTGAAAACACATTTCTCTCGTTTGTCCTCGCATTACAAACACGTCAGCAAGTACGCAAATACTTATGTACACCAGTCGTAGATCCACATGGCGCAAAATACACTTAGCGCAGTGACTATCCGCCAGCGAGGATACCGAAACGAGAGTACTGGCGGTGTAAGAACAAAAAGTCACGTACTCCTGTTACCTGCGCTATTCCCAAGCGCACTCGCTTACGGGCATTAAATCCAACGTGCGTTGGATGCGCGCAGCGGGTTGACCATACAGCGAACGAGTGCATCCGAGGTCGAGCATCGACTCGGCGACGTACGGTCAAGGCCGCAACGTCTGTCCTCGCACCGCGACACGTTGGCCGGCGCTTAGAGAAAAATCAGCGGCGTCGTTGAACGTGCGACCTGCAACTTTTCCACCGAGGGCGTAAGCCGTGAATTTAGCGAAAGACTTTCTCACGGCGCGGCTCGGAGCCACGGTTTTTTTCCGTACAATTAATATAAAATTAGCAAGTGCGTCTCTCTCTCTCTCTCTCTCTCTCTCTCTCTCTCTCGTTACCCTCGCGCAACGTCGATAAAAGGTAGTGCGCAAACGATCGACGTCGCGAGCGACGAATCGGTAAGTTTCCGCGGAGTTCAGGGAACTCACGTTGAAAATTCCATGTTTTTCTTATTTTTTCAATATTATTTTTCACCGTTCTCCCGGGCTCCGGCTCGCCGACCCTGACCGTGGGGCAGGTCGTGAATGTAAAAACAAGCGACGCTTCGTTCTCCCGGAAGTGACGTCACCGGACGAACCCATCACCGCGATCGACTCTTACTCATTTCGCATCCTCTGCTCGCTGGCTCTTCTTCCTTCTGTCTCGTCTCTCCTCTCCTTCGTTCTCTTCGCCGCTTCCCGTCCCGAGGAAATACGAAGTAATGGCGATTTAACTGTTAGCCTGGACACGCCGGAAAGGGGCTATGGCAGCGCCACAAGGAAGCGAATCGCTCGAAGGACGATTTGACGATTGCCGTGAAAGCTGGCGCGTGTATTCTGCCGACCTAAGTAAAGAAGAAGGTTCGTCGTTACCGACGGAGCCAACTGTAATTGTGATCCTGAATTAACGATACACGATCGCGAAATAGCTGGTGTATATGATAAACGAAACGATACGATTGAGATTGGATAAATTTTGAAAAAAAAAAAAAAAAAAAAATTTTGTTCTTATACGACAAAGTACAAAATCACCGAGAGACCAGAGACGCTCGGGCGATTACGTGTGTGCGAAGTAAGCGAATTGAATAATGCATAATCGATTCGGCAGGACCACGTGACGACGTCGAGGCAAGACAATGGAATAACACGTGGCGTAAACGACGTTACGAAACTTTCCGCGTACGGCCGTAGCGTTTCTTTCGATTATTCGCCAAAATCAAAAAGCCACCGGTGACGCGAGGCCAACGTTCGTAATATATGCTAAATCAATATAAATAAATTTTAATCAGAAAACGGCGCCGTGGACGTCACTAGACTCCGTTTTGGCATTACTTAACATTACCTGCCCGTAAGATCGCAGCTATATGCGTTTTAATAATTTCATTTTTCTCCCGTCCTTATTAAACGGTCACCTTGTAGATCGTTCAATATTCATAGACGTTGCGTGAACTTGAGTAAGACCTTAACAAAAATATATATATATATATATATATATATATATATAAAAGAAAAGAGTAAACATGTTTTTTTTTTTTAATCATTCTCTCACACACCATGCTCGGTGTATATATAGGGAGGCGGAAAAAGAAAAAGGAAAAATAAAGGTCCGTACTTGTATTCTGGGCTTTCCATCCGCGTCAATAATGAAACAAGTACATTGCGTGTCGGGATCACTGGCAGCCTGACCCAGACAGTGTTGGTTTACTATTTCAGGGGAGTCAGTCACGCACCGCTTCCTGTACTGAAAATCATTTTTTAGGACTTCCTCTGGAAGCTTGGCTCGTTCAACGATTTTTTGCTCGATATTAAAAAAATGGCAAAAATTCCAAAAGCACGCAGGAGGTTATCTGAAAATTTCCATGAAGAATCGCACGCTGGGTTGATGGTTGAAAATTCATTAGCCCGCCCCCACCCACCTGGATTTTATCTTCTAAAAGCTGCACTCGCGAGGGAGTTCCCTTAAAATATGCAAACCTCCCCTTTGCACCCTACCCAGTCGAGACTGATGAGCGTATACAGAGGGGCTCGAAAAGCATAAGAGATGTCGTGCATAGGCAAGACCGCTAATGCTTCGTATGCAAACATGCACCGGCTAGGAGGAAGCGTCGCATGTGCACCAATGGGAGTGCAGCGTGTATAAATGTTGAACATAGGGGTGGGTGCGGGTGGCGCCGACTGCTAAAGTTGAATGGACTGTACCGCGAAGGTTCTCAATGCACGTTGAAAAGAGATATCGCGTGAAATAAAGTCAGCCCGAAAGCCTCGATAAAAATAGCCGTCGATCGTGATAAAAGAGACAGAGAAAATTTTTTGTCGCGTTCAAAAAAAAAAAAAAAAAAAAAAAAAGGAAAAAAAAAAAA